TGTTTGGATTCCTGAGGGAAAAGTTAAATTCCTGCCTAGAAGTAGGAACATTGGATGTGGACCCATGAGAAGAGCAAGGGACATCATAGTACTGCATAATAAAATTTTAAACTGTTCGTATGGTGTATTTTGCGGTGTCCTGTCCGTCCGTTAGCACGATATTCTGCGAATCTTGGAATAAAAGCAAATTTAACGCCAGTTTCAAATTTGGTTTTGCGTTGATGCCAACTTTTCTTATTTATGGAAGCAATTAAATGAATTTTCATACATTTACACTTTAAACAAAAGTAAATACAACATCAGGTTTAAATTTGGTTTTGGGACATGCCATGCCCAGGAGCACGTTTTCTTTATTTGTTTAGTTTATTCTATTTTTTTGCTATCATCACAAAAACGTTGATTTTGTGGTCGCTTTGCGGCCATAAAGTTTCACTTTATTGTACGCTTCTGTCAAACTTTACTTTATTGTAACACATCTGTCAAACTGTACTTATTTGAAACTGATGTGTGAGAAACAGTAATTAATCTGTTTTGATAACAAAGCGTCTATCTGGTATAGCCCATCAAGGATAGGGCCATCCACGTGTGGTTTTTTTCATTGTCGGACTTGTAGGAATGTTTCACACCATTTTGCATAATCACAATGTTCACATTTAAAATGATAGTTTGACCATTTTGAAGTGTAGAACAAAAACATGAGCAAGATTGTTATTGCTTACTATTACACGAAGAATCACCAGCAATTAACTGAGAACACAAGTAGCTACCTATACCTACCATCAAAGTAGGTACCTAATCAGGTTTCTAATAATGTGTACAGCATATTAACTATAAGGTCTTGGAAGCCACAGTTACGAAGGACCTATTGCATTGACATTATTAAAATCTTGTGCAGCGGAGGAAGTTGCGATTGTACTTTTACTCTCAAACTCCTGCTCTTATATCATATATGACTTAGGGTCGCAACGCTTGCAGTTTCCAAAATTTCATTTGGGGTATCGAACTGTCGCTATCACCCATTTTGGTACGCACAAAACACGCAAAGATGAATATTATAATTACATATGACAGGACACGCTTTGTTTTTTAATTGTCTAAGATAACTATTGATTTTCAGAAAAAATATGTTTATGAGCAAATTTTTGAATTCTTTTTTGATGATCGCCTAAAAAATGTTGTGTGCACCTTGGCCCAAAAGTGATTTGTTAGGCCTCATCTGAATGCGGCCTCGGCTACCGCCTCGGCCGCAAACAGCAGCTTCGGCCAAAAAGATCACTTTACGGCCTTGGTACACAAATAACTATTAATCTACTCGTATGTTTTATGCCTTATACTTTACCTTTTTAGCGCGCATTTTTCCAAATTCATTGTAAAAAGTAGCTTTTAATCTTCACTTGGCTGGCTAGCTGCTGACTGGCTGCTGGTCGCAAGGCTGGCTGGTCGCAGGCTGGCTGGTAGCCGGCTGGCTGGTAGCAGGCTGGCTGGAAGCAAATTGGGCGCGTAGAAGGACTCTTGTAAAAGGCAACGGGCATACGTGTATCTACAAGGCCGGTGTAATTGGTCAAACCTTGCGGACAGGGTACATGATGTAGGTTGGTGGCATCTGGGCGTCATCCTCGAGCGTAGTATACTAATGTGAAGGATTTCAGTTTCTTTCTATCTTCTACTTACAGTTTTGGTCCGATTCTTTTTTCAAATTGGGTGTTGCCGAAAAGATGTTGCGTGGGCGGAATTTTGTTTTTTTTGTCCTAGAGGCGAAATTAATGACCATTTGCAAGGCGCGCGTGTCTTCGAAAGGTAGTCAACTTCGGGCGCCTTTTACATTCCGTTACGAATTTCATGCGGTTTAACGTTTCGTAAATCTCGAATCGCTGTCTTTCTTGTCTATCTTGTGGAAGGTTTTTAGCCAAATCCACCAAAATGTGAGTGCAATATAAGTATGCACGAAATAGGAAATGGGTAGCCTCCGACCAGATCTATCTGATGTGGAGTGAACACTTCAAACGCGATTGCGGGTGAACGGGGCGTCGGAAAAGTGGGTACCAACAAAGGGAATGTGGTAGCCCCGAAACGATGCCTCTGAGGGTGGAGTCAAATCTTCAAATGCGAATTGCGGGTGAACTAGGCGTCCGGAAATGGGTACCACAAAAAGGGAATGTGGTACCCGCGACATGATCTTACTGATAGTGGAGTTCAAATCTTCAATCGCGAACTGCGAGTGAATGGGGAGTCGGAAGTGGGTACCAACAAAGGGAATGTGGTAGGCTCCGAAACGATCCCCCTGATGGTGGAGTCAAATCTTCAAACGCGAACTGCGAGTGAATGGGAGTCGGAAGTGTACCAACAAAGGGAATTGTGGTAGGCCCGAACGATCCCCCTGATGGTGGGATCAAATTTTTAACGCGAATTGCGGTGAATGGGACGTCGGAAGTGGATACAACAAGGGAATGTGGTAGCCCCCGACACGAACTTACTGATGGTGGGTCAAAAGTGGCTAATCAGTATCTGCCACACAAAAATGCGCTGAAGTCCTTCGATCTTACACGAGGACTGACAATTTTTTCTGTATACAATGTGATCGAACCAGAAGTCAACACTCAATTTTTATTCAATTGCTGCAATGATGCAAGCAATTTGTATGATCGACATTCTTTCCAAATAATTTCTCACATAAAAAAACTTGATGTGTGTATACTTTAATTTTCTTAATACAAAAACTGCAATTTTATTATTCATTCTTTCATCT